GCCCGCCCTGGGCAGGCTGGCAGGAAATGCTGTAGTAGGGTCGTGCGGAGGGGGAGAGGTCCTGTCCGGAGAGGCCGCGCCGTGCCATTCTCTGGGAGTGTCCGCCGTGTAGCGTCTCCTCTCGCGCGTGTCATCCAATGCGCCACGCATTTCTTCTGTAGGGGCGGGAAGGTCCTGCGTCCCGGGGCAGGCGTCGCCAGTGTCCCCGCCTCCCAGACTCCCCTCATGGCTGGGCGGGGGGCCTTGCGCCGTGCCTTGAGGCCTCCTCGGGTGATCGTCCATCTGCATGCCTGTGCTGGTCTCCTCTCCCTGAGGGGCGCCACGGTCCGGGATCGTGCCCCATGCCGTACCTTCGGCTGTCTCTATGCCCTGGGAGGGGCGCTCGCGCGCTGCTGCCTGACCGCCTTGCCCCGCAGGAGCAGATGGAGAGGGGGAGGCGCAGCCGATAGCCGCAGAGACTGGTGAATTGGAGGAGCGCGGGGAGGAGGCGGGCCTGTCGGCCCCTGCGATGCTCGCATCAACAGTCTCAACCTCGGCCTGGGCCTCCATGCCTTGCGGCCTCCTCGGGTGTTCGTCTATCTGCATGTCTGTGCTGGTCTCTTCTCCCTGAGGGGCGCCGCGGTCCAGGATCGTGACCCCTGCCGTGCCTTCGGCTGTCTCCATGCCCCGGGAAGGGCGCCCATGCGCTGCTGTCGGGTCGCTCTGCACCGCTGGGGGAGGAGGAGAGGGGGCGGCGCAGCCGCTGGTGAATTGGAGGAGTGTGGGGAGGAGGCGGGCCTGACGGCCCCTGCGGTGCTCGCATCGACAGTCTCGCCCTCAGCCTGTGACTCCATGCCTTGAGGCATCATCGGGTGTTCGTCTATCTGCACGCCTGTGCTGGTCTCTTCTCCCTGAGAGGCGCCGCGGTCCAGGATCGTGGCCCATGCCGTGCATTCGGCTGTCTCCATGCCCTGGGAAGGCGCTCATGTGCTGCTGTCGGTTCGCTCTGCACCGCTGGGGGAGGAGGAGAGGGGGGGCGCAGCCGATAGCCGCAGAGACTGGTGAATTGGAGGAGCGCGGGGAGGAGGCGGACCTGCCGGCCCCTGCGGTGCTCGCATCAATGGCCCCAACTTCAGCCTGTGCCTGTGCTGCCGTTATGCGGGGGTATCGTTCCTCGCTGGACTGTCTGCGTTCCGCTGGGGATCTTGTTCCAGTCCAACAGCGGGGGAAACATGAGTGACCGGAGGATGGGGGGAGGGGGGGGCGCAACCGATAGCCGCAATATCTGGTAAATTGATAGAGGGGAGAGAGCTGGCGTCAATATGTGGCGACGTGGCGGCATCTTCCTCTCTGGATTCGGCTCTCTCGGCACCTGGCGCCCCAGGCATCCTTGTCGCGCCGCCCTGGCCGAGGGCACCCCTGTTCAACTCTGGGGGGGGCTCAGGCGCGCCCTGCGCCTTCGGGGGAGGAGGAGAGGAGGCGCAGCCGATAGCCGCAGGATCTGGTGAATTGAAGGATAAAGGGGGGGCCGCCCTTGGCGTGCGTCCGCGTAGAGCCAGCATCGTTTGAGATGGGTCTCCTTATGTCGTACCGAGGGGGGACTGCTGTCGATCCAGACGACGGGGGTCTGTCCGCTGGCGCTCCACGGCCCAGTCCCTGTGCATCCAGTCCGCCCCCAGCTGCTATCCCACGAGCGGGCTCCGCGTCTCCACCTCCAGTCGCTGTGGACCGAGCTGTGTCCGCCGCTCGGGCCCATTGCGAGCCGCCCGCCCCTCCACGAGGGGAGGCGGGAGGCGTGGGGGGAACTGGGACGTGCTCGGGCTTCGTCTCAGGGTCAGGGCCCTCTGCTTGCACCCGGGGATCTTCTTCCCCCTCGCGAGGAGGAGGTGGTCTCGGATTCGTACTTGGTGCTGGTCCCGCCACTCCTGTGGGCGAAGGCTGCTCTGCATGGGGGGGAAATGTCTCGATCGGTGGCAGTACCTGGACTCCCGTGCCGCGCACTGTATGATGAGGATCTCCCTCTTGTCCATCGTGCGGGTCAGCCATCGTCCGCGTGACTAGTGGGGGGGAACAATCGGCCCTGGTCGGGAGGGACGAAGCGGCGTCCGGGCGCCCCCTTGAGCGGCGGGAGACTGCCCCGGAGGGGGCAGGCCCACCAGACGGCTTGAGCCAAGGCTACGGACTGGTGGGGATACGCGCAACGTCGAGAGTTCTCAAACCCTCCGGGCTTGGCGCGTGCCCCCGTGGGCTCCCCCGTATCTCCCCGCGCGACGTGTTCGGGCCCACGAGGGCCCCAGGACGCGCCCAGAGTGCCACCCAGACGGTCCAAGAGGGCACCGAGTCGCCCAAGGCTGCCCCAAACACTGCCGAAGAAGCCGCCAAGGCGACCCTGGGGGCCTCCACCACGAGGCCTCCCAAGAGGGCCCCATGGCACTGATGCTCCATAGAAGAAGTTTGATGGATTGTGGTGCGTTTGCCTTTTCGGCTTCCCCACGCTCCTTGACGGCCCAAGAGTCCCCCGTGATCGTCCCAAGACGGCCGCAGAGGCTTTCAAGACGGCCCAAGGGGCATCCAAGACGGCCCAAGAGGCCACCAAGACGGCTCCAAGAGGGGGCCCAGAAGGGGGGGACCCGAACGGACATTTCGAGCCCTCGACCTCGAGAGGCCCACAGGAGGCCTCAAGAAGCCCCCCAGAGGCCCCCAGCAGGCCCCAATAGGTCCCCAAGAAGCGTCGAGGAGGGCTCGAGAAGCCTCCGATGGGGCCCCAGAAGGCCCCCAAGATGCTCCCAAGAGGCCCCACAACTGCATCCAGGGGGCCCCCGAGAGCGCTTCGAAGGGGCCGCAAGAAGCATCCCTGAGGACTCTCACCCACAAGCCAGGCACGGTGGCTGGATGGGCCAAAGCCAATAGCCTATAGATACATGTCGTCCTCCACCCCTCCTCCTCCTCCTCCTCCTCCTCCTCCTCCTTCTCCTCCTCCTCCTCCTCCTCCCCCCCCTCCTCCTCCTCCTCCTCTTCCTCCTCCTCCTCCTCCTCCTCCTCCTCCTCCTCCTCCTCCTCCTCCTCCTCCTCCTCCCCCTCCTCCTCCTCCTCCTCCTCCCTCCTCCCTCCTCCCCCTCTTCCGCTGCAAGCTCGCTGTTGCATACAACCACCTCCGTCCCCCCATTGCCAACGAGCTCCTGACATGCACGGCCGGTCTCTTGCTTGCTTCTGCCTCCTCCCCGCCCTGTGCAAGCTCCCGCCTGCGCGCCCGCCCTGCCTCTCCGCTCTCCTCCCGCCTCTCCTCCCAACACATCCCCGTCCCATCCTCTTCCCCTCCTTCTTTCCTCTTCCCGCCTTTCCTCCCAGACACCCGCCCCCTTCCCACCCTTCCATCCCCTCCCTTCTCTCCTTTCTTTCCCTTCCCTTCCCTTCCCTCCCTCCCTCGTTTCCTTCCCTCCGTTGCTTCCCTTCCGTCCCTCATCTCCCTCCCGCCCCCTTCCCCTTCCTCGGTCCCTCCCATCCCATCCCCTCTTCCCTTTCTCCCTCCCCTTCCCCCCCACACTGCCGGAAGAAGAGGGGAGGGGCGGGAGGCCAGGACGAGGAGGAGGAGAGGGGGGAGAGGCATGGGGAGACATGACGGCAAACCAGGTACGCCCGCGCGGCATCTGACATCCTACCCCTCTCTCTTCAACCCTTTCCCATCACGCGGGTGTTTCTCTATCCGCGGATGTGTGTCATAGCTCCGCGAACGCATGTCAGCCGCTTGGGCCTTCGGTGGAGCTCCCTATGGTGCCACGAAACGTGTGAGGGGTGTACCGAATCGGGTGCGGGTACGCCATGCGGACTGTGCCGCTGGGGCTGTTGGCGGAGCAATAGATGGGGCCACAAAACTAGTGAGGGGTGTGCCACACCAAATATGGGTACACCATGCGGACCAATGGAGCCTTCGGTGGGGCGCCGTATGGGTCCGCGAGAGTTGTGAGAGGTGTGCCAAATCGGATGCGCATGCGCCATGCGGACTATGTCACTGAAACTTTCGGTGGAGCTGCCCATGGGGCCACGAAACGTGTGAGGGGCGTGCCGAATCGGGTGCGGGCACGCCATGCGGACTGTGCCATTAAAGCCTGCGGTGGTATCCCTTATGGGGCCACGAACCGTGTGAGAAATGTGCCAAATCGGACGCTGGTACGCAATGCGGCCTGTGCCACTGGGGCCTTCGGCGGAGCTGCCCATGGGGCCACGAAGCGTGTGAGGAGGGTGCCCCGTCGGGTGCGGGTACGCCATGCGGACTGTGCCACTGGGGCCTTCGGTGGAGCTCCGTATTGGGCCAAGAAAGGTGTGAACGGCGTGCCAAATCGGATGCGGATACGCCATGCGGACTGTGCCACGGGGGCTTTCGGTGGATCTTCACATGGGGCCACGAAACGTGTGAGGGGTGCGCCAAATTGGACTTGGGCACGCCATGCGGACTGTGCCAATGGAGCCTTCGGTGGGGCGCCGTATGGATCCGCGAGAGTTGTGAGGGGTGTGCCAAATCGGATGCGGGCACGCCATGCGGACTGTGCCGCTGGTGCAGTCGGTGGAGCTCCCCACGGGGCCACGAAGCGTGTGAGGAGGGTGCCAAATCGGATGCGGGTACGCCATGCTGCCTATGGCACTGAAACCGGGTACGCCATGCGGACTGTTCCATTAGGGCCCGCGGTGGTGTTCCTTATGGGGCCACAAAACGTGTGAGGGGTGTGCCAGTGTCGGATGCGGCGGCCGAATACTTGCACAACAAACAAGCTAACTCGAAACAATTCTCGACGACGGCGCGATGGGCATCCGGGATTCTGCTCAAAGAGGCACTTCGCTTCGCATATTCGTCGGCAGCCTCATTGCAAAGATATTCAAGACGACTGAGCTTGCCATTCTCGACATCTCGAAAGGCGCAGTGGGCGGGCACTTTGTGCCACCGCGCGCCTCCGAGCTCATCGTGCACATGCTGCCACAAAATAAACCGAGGATTCTCGGGGTTGGCCGTCCCAGGGGGGAAAGGGTCAGCGACCGAACAATCGGCCGCGTCGACGCCAGGGGGAACCGTGAACTCGGGTGGGCCGGCCCGCGGGCGCCCGCATCCGGTGGAGCGCCGCCTCGACGTCCACTTGCTCGACGGCCAGCCCGTCGCACTCGCGAGCGCGGAGCCCGCCGCGCGCGCCGGCCGCCGGGACCTCCGCCGCGGCGGGCTCGCAGAAGCAGGCGCTGAGTTTCCGCGTGTCCGAGACCGGGCGCTGTCGCCCGTCGGACTCGCTCACGAAGAAGGGGCGCGATCGCGCATGGGGCATCCTCGCCGAAGGTGGCCATGCCAGGCTGATAGGGACGATGGAGGAAGTCGCAACAGAGCAGTGGATCTCGCCGCAGTGCATCAT